GTGAAGATATCGCAAGACATGAGGTCTGGGATTGCTTGGTCAAAGCATCCCCTTTGCTTTTGTTTTGTGAGAAAGGTTCTGCTTCTTCAAGCAATGATGTTGAGCCTGAGCCAAAATGGTTGTCTTCGTTGCTGGAACGAATGAAAGAACAAGGGATGAATGCAACTGTCATTTGCCCTGACAAGAACACGTTGTCCGACTTTGTCTTCAGCTACAAGAACCATCGATGGTTGCAGCAAATGATGTCTTTGCTGGACTGTCTGGCTACCAGCAGCGTAGAATGGGCGACTATGTTTCCTGACCCATCCCAAGTTCAGGTTCTGAAGATGCTTCGATCTGTCTTGCTACAACATCATGAGACAAACTCGTTCTTTTGTGGAACCTATGACATGTTGGCTGGAAGGGCTATTCATTGTGTAGCTGGTTACAGGTTCATTGCAGGACTTCCCATCAAGTCCCTGTTCGCATGTTTTGAGACCGACAAGAAACATAAAGCTACAACCATCGCAGAGCTGGCATTGTGGCTACGAAACTGTTGCTCTCTTGACATGCTGATGCAACATGGATTCTACGTTCTTCTTCAAGCTGGAGATGTCTTTGTGGTTCCACCTGCCTATATGGTTGTGGAAGGCAGTTTGGGCGTCAATGAAGCAGTGGTTCTTTCATATCCCGCTATGCCTGTATCGAAAGCCACCTGTGGTTTGTCTTGAGTTAGTGAGTGCTATTTTGTATGTTTATATGAATATGTGAGGTCTTCACTGATTCATTTTGTCTTCACCAATTGAATGTGGCTGAGGTGGTAATACTGCTGCTTCCGATTTGTATACTGGCTGGGAACAATGTGTGAGGATGCTGCAAGAAGTCTTGATGCCTGATCAATCCAAAACTTTGGGTGCTCGTTCCAAGGTGTTGCTGGATCTCTTGCGCCTGACTCAAGTTAAACAAGATCCAGGCAATGGTGGCAATGATGAAGTGCTTGATCAAATTGAACACAAGATCCGAGAGAATCTCTCGAAATTGGACGATGTCGGCATTTCACGGGAAGTTGAGAAAGCAAAGTCACACCATTTGCTTTCAGAATATGTGGCCTTAATGTTGAATGGAAACAACATTGAGTGGAATTTTGGTGAGAGTTGCGATGATTACCCCGGTACTGGATTTGAAGATCTGGTTGGCTTTCTCACTTGGTTAGAGTCTACAAATCAGCCACGGCTGGCGCCACCAAAAGCAGACACAAAGCAACCATGTGGCCTCAGGTCTGTTCCAAAGACACCTGCCACCACACACACAGAACCTGGTACAGTGCCACAAGAAGTGACAAACATGTCATCAACATCAGTGGCAGCAGCAGCAGCAACCGATGCGGATGCACATCAAGGCATTAGTGGACAAGGTGCAGCAGCTACAGTAGACAGCAGCACAGGCACAAACACACATCATGCACCGGCAGTGGAGACACCCAAAACAAAACCCGATGAACTGCAAGACACTTGTGGTGGACAACAAGCAACAGCCACAGCAAACACCACCGCACAAGCAGAACAAGCTGCAGCAACAACCAATGCGAACAACAACACACCCGCAGAACAAGCTGCAGCAACAGCAACATCTGGCGAACATATGCCAAAGGAATCAGAAGAATTGCAAACCAGAGCAAAAGCACAAACTGAAGTCATGACACCAGCAACAACATCAGACACACCAAAGGATGGCAGCAGCACACACACAGATCAAAAAACAACAGCTGCAGCAGCTACCAAAGAGAATGCACAGCCATCACAGCACTTGTCATTGGAAGTAAAGTCTCACACAAAACCATCAGCAGCCGCAATAACACCAGAAGAAACACCAGCCACAGCAGCAGCATCAGCAGCAGCATCATCCAATGCACAGCAAGGCGTTAGCAGCCAATGCCAACATGCAGCAAATACAGCAAACAACAGCACACAGGCACACCAAACAACAACAGCAGCAGCAGCAGCAACACATACAAGCGAGATGTCAACAGCAGAATCCCAGCCTGAACCGTCAGTGGTGACTCCAGCAATAGCAGCCAATGAACTGCAAGGCACTGTTGGACAACAAGCAACAGCCGCAGCAAACATCAACACATATACAGAACAAGCAGCAACAGCAGCAGCAACATCAAGCAAGGAAGAGATGCGGATGCCACAGCAGCAGGAATCAGAGCAGTTGCCAACCAGAGAAGAAGCACAAACTGAAGCATTGACAACATCAACCACACCATAAGATATACAGCAAGGCTTCGGTGAACAAGCACATACTACAGTAAGCAGCGGCACACATACAGAGAAAACAACACTACCACCAACAACAACTGAAGCACAAGGACCTTCTGAGCAATCAGCAGGGAGAAGAGAAACACCACCAGAGGCAGACACAGCCAATGCACCGCCAACAAACAACGCTGACAAGGCAAACACTGGCACAGGTTGCACAAGTGGTTCGAGCTTGAACCTCAACATATGCTTGCCCAGTGGTCGATCAACAATCATGTCCATTCTTGCCAGTTCAACCATGAAAGAGCTGAAGACGGCTACCCAAGACTTTGCTGGAAGCAAACACTTCTATATCATGTCCTTTGACGGACAAAGGTTGGATGTTGATGAGGCGCGAACTCTCGAAGAAATGGGAGTCCGGAGTGATGATACACTGACTGTTGTATGTCAAGCACACACTCCAACACCAGCAGAGAAATTCTTTGATCCTCAAACATACCATGGCAAAACATTGCCTCCATTCCCATCACCTGAGACTTTGGGAAAACTGGATCAACAAGTCACACTGACAAACAACGCTAAAGCACAGTTCTTCGACTCAGCGACATACCGTTACCAATCAAAGAAGAGATCCGAAGCTGAGTCTGCACCAAGCAACCAGGAGCATCCAGACAGCAAGAAGTTGAAAACTTCTCCAGCATCAGTGTTAGATGCAGAAACATTGGCAGCACAAGCAGACAGCAAGAAGTTGAAAACTTCTCCAGCAGCAGTGTTAGATGCAGAAGCATTGGCAGCGCAAGCAGACAGCAAGAAGTTGAAAACTTCTCCAGCAGCAGTGGTAGATGCAGAAGCATTGGCAGCAAAAGCAGAATTGGCCAGAAAGACTCATATGCAAACACTAGCAGCAGAAGCAACGGCAGAAGGCAAAGGTGATATCAAGTCGACTTCATCATCAAAGCACATTGACAACGAAGATGAGGGACATGTAACTTGGTGTTGTGTTTAAATAAGAGTTTGTTTTGATTTTGTTTGGTTTATTTTGAATTTTGATATGTCTATATATTGTATATATACATTTGTATGTTTTTTGATGATGTTTTGTATCACTAGCTCAAGCTGGGCAATCATTTGGCGCAGGTCTCAGCAGCAGCGAATGGTCGCCAGCGCCAGCGAACCGGCATTCCCAAGTCTGCTCCAGCGCCGCGACCGACTCCACCACAAGATTCTGGTGAACAGTTGACACTGGAGCAAGAGCTTGAACGTATGATGGACAACATGTCGTCGGCAGATGAAAATGATCAGGACCAGTCATGGGTTGACAACAAGGCTATCATATGTTTAGAATGTTTTTAGGTCGCTTACTTTGGTTAGGACACTGGGAGTAGGAGCGCTTAAAGTTATCGTTATGATTGAAACACCCCTAAGCAGGATGACGCTGGAGTTCCAACATCGGCGACGCCAACACCATCACCCCCAAGTGCAACTACCGGTGGTGAACGAATGGAGACAAAGAATTCCAACGGCATGACCGCAGCAGCATCTCACACAAAGAAAGCTGATGCTGCCAGTGATTTTGGTGATTCTACATCAGCAAGTAGGAGTAAGAAGAAGCAACAAGAGGCTTCTTTACCATCACCTAAAACGAAATCGAAAGCTTCACCAAAGGTGAAAGCTAAGTCCAAAGCCAAAGCCGCAGAATCTCGTGCACAGAATTTTCACTCAGCGGCTAAGGCAAAGCCAAAAGCAACAGTGAAAGTGAAAGCAAGTCCTAAGCCGAAATCCAAACCCAAGGGAAAGTGAAGACTTGACCTTTGATGAACTGCGCACCAGTCCATTCTCCCTGGTTTGTGCCAGTATAAAACGCAAAGCAACTGACGAAACATCAAGATACAAAGGTGTTTGTTTTTGAAGTGTAAACTGTTATGATTATTCCGATGAACATGTTGTTTTGTGTTCACAAGGGAGTTGGACTAGACAGCGCCAGTGATAGCCGATGAGGGTCGTGGCAGACACACTGGCATGGCACCGCAGCACCAATTGTCACCAGTCACCAGCAACTTGGGCAAGGGATGAAAAAAACACAGCGGCATTTGAGTGTGGACTGAACATGCAGCACTTCGCTGATTCGTCGTGATTATTGTATGTGCGCAACTGATGATTTTGAAGTTGGACAATCGGAAGTTTATCCATGAGTTTCATTATATATATATATAACATGTTTGTATACACAGTGTGCTGCGCACCTTGTAAACATGTGTGTATGTGGAAATGTGACGTTGCTTACCTGATGTTGGAATGACCAGCTGAGCCAAAGCTGTCTGAATTGTGAGATGATTGTGAGAGATGATTTGCCTTGTGTTAGATGTATGATGACTATGATGACTGTTTTTTCAGCTAGCCATGCAACGGTTGGATGATGTGAGTGAGTGATGATCAGTTTCTTGAAGATGGTGTGATATGTGAGGCTCCTCCTGCGCTTTTTCATTCATAAAAAACAAAAATGTGTACTAGTTTCTATTTTTCAATGACACACCGGGGTCAAAATAATTTTTGAAAGTCTCGCCGGAATCAGTATCTTTCGTGAAGCCTTCTTCAATGATGCCAGCTTCTCAGACAGCGCAGGATCTTCAGGTTCTGACTGTCGAGGAGAGGCTGCTGATGACGGAGGATGCTCCTGCTGATGTGATAAGTTTGGACATACTGACCTGTAACTGTAACCCTTTGACAAGACCTGATTTGCTTTGCAATAAACATCGCATTTCAATAGTCCTTGGCCACTGGCAATGGCACTGATTTTGCACCAGCGCCACTGATCTTGGCAGCATCAGCCATGCCAAACATAGCTTCCAAAGTAGGGCTGCTCGGTGTGGATGCCCTTTGCCTCTTTGCGCTCGGAGGATTGCCATAATCGCTCTTTTGTTTGGGCATCTGGCCAAGCTAAGTGTTGGCCACAGCTTTGGCAGTTTGACCACGAAAAGGCTTGAACAGTGAACAGGAGAAGTGAAAGTCTAAAGCGAAAACTCAATCAGTCTAAAGTCTAAACAAACTATGACTCAAACTATGTGTGTGTGTCGGGTGCAGTTTACCGTTAAAGTTACAAGTTACAAGGCCGTCTTGTGTTGAGATGAACTGCCACAAACACATTCCTGGAAGCAGCGTGAGACAGCAACTGGCTTGTTTCCCTGGCTTCAAACACAATCCCACAGTCTGGCTGATGGCACTATGAATGCTCATGGCCAGAAGAAGCACTGCCTGCTTGATGCAAGATTCATGCGCAATGCATGTTGGTCAACAATGCAACGCCTGCGTTCTGCTGCGGAACAGGAGTACAGTATAGTATCAGTGTCATTATAATATATAAGATATATATAGGTAGACTATGGACTGTGACTATGACTCACGACTATGACTATGCTCTATACTGCCGGTATACTGACTTCACAGATCAATTGCTACGCAACAGATATCAATACGAGGCAATTTGAGAGTTGAGTCGCCGTTTTGGCGAAGACTCAAGCCAAAATCAAGAAGTTTTGGCCTTCTTTGCGCTAGCGCCTTTGTTTCCTGAGTTTGCAAGATCTGAGAGTTCAGTCTGGAAGTCACCAGGCAAAGTGATGTTGTTCTCCCTGATGAAGTCCAAAATCTGGCACCTTCACAGTGCCAGATTAATAGAGAAAAACAAAGCACAGCGCAAACGACAGATTCCATGTCAAAAACCTCCTCCTACTGCTTTTGCTAAGTGTGCATTGCTAAGTGTGGCACGCAGATTGGCTTGTTTTCATGCAATGCTTGACAGCACCCCTTGAACTCAACAACTTCTCAGAGGTTCCCATCGCAAAAATCAGGAGACCTGATACCGAATATCCTTTCAACTCAGTGTATGAGTCTGCAAAGCAATCAACAGGATTCAATCCCAAGTCTGAGGAGTGTGTTTCAACGTGCTCAAGGAGAGTGTTGGTGGTTGACAACCACTTCTGCAATAATTGTGCTTTATCCTCCTTGTAGGCTTTGGCAAACTCCGCTCTGGTCAGTGAACCGACCTGCTCCAAACCTGCAACTGAAAACAATTGAACTGAGCTGATGGCTGATGCACAAACGATCTTCCCTTGAACAATTCCAAGTTACTTACATTGACCAAAACAGACCAGACAAGACAAGACTAGCCCATGTGATATGACATGAATCAATGAAAGAATCCTACTGGCCTGAATTTGTCCACTGTGAGATCTGGGTCATGATTCGGGACTTCATGTCATCATTGACTTGACCGATCAACTCCTTCAAGAACTTCCCCATGTCCTCCTTGGCCGATATACCAGCCTTGACCCTGGACTCATGACCACAAGACCATTTGATTCTAAGCTTAACAAATTTCTCTGACTGACTTTGATAAGCCTGTGCCACCGAGAATCAAAGAAACGCACCAATATGTCCTTTGTCACACCGCCAGAGTCATCGCAATCAAACGCTGCTTGGAACACTTCTTCCGCTGAAGAGCGAATCTTGTCAGAGTCTATGGTAATGCCGGTACGAATCGCAGAAGCTGGATCATCGATGCACTTCAAGTGCTTTGCAAGCTTCCAGAGGTGACATGCACACCCAGTGTTCTCATTGTTTGTGCGGCACTGGATAGCATTGACGCACGAGTAGAGCACATCCACCACCATTTTGATTCTGGTGCTGTCGCAGTCCAGCCCGGTTGCCACCCAGGAAGCCTCTGTACACTTTCTGAGGCAAGATGTGCCATCAGCTGTTGAAACAGGAAGAATACACCAGCCATTGTCTGACTTTGCATTCTCAACAATGCTCGGCGCAATCACCTTTGAAGCTTCATGCAGAGCATCTTTGATGGTTGCCTGATAGAAGGCCTCCCACACCGACTGCAAAGCTTTGGCCAATGGATTGAACACCCGCTCAACTTTCAACCTTGAAGCTTCCTTTTTGATTTGCCCTAATTCTGTGCATGCAGCACCAGCGTCGATGCTTCTGTCTTTCACTCTGGAAGAAGTTTCTGAAAGCTTTGTCAAAGAATCATACCACATGGCCAAACTGTGCACATGAATGACCACAGGGCTCTTCTGGAAGGACGATGGAACTTTGCGAAGCGACATGATCGCAAAATCAGGAACTTGCGGAAGGAGTGAACAAGCAGACACGTTTTCAGCAGCACTCTTGATCCAAGGACTTAGCTCTGTGTCCACATGCGCACTCAATGACCTCTGCAAGAGTTCCAGGATTTGCTTGGTGTTGCTCCCGACAAACTCGAATTGTGGATCACCACTATCAATGTCATTGGACAAGTTCTCGCATTTTTCCACGCAGTTCTTGATTTGCACAACTGCCTCAGTCCCAAACCAGTCATCCTTTGCTTGGGCCTTCTCTAGCTTGCAGAGTTCTTCTCTCAGATCACTAAGGTCTGTGAGGTGTTTCATAGTCCCAGCACGGTCCTTGGCTTTTTGCACGGCCAACTCCAAAATGGTAGGTCCTTGCTTCACAGACAGAAATGTCTTGAAGACATTGTGATGACCATCTGAGTGATCAAACGCTGCAGCTGCCTGAGTGACAGCATCTGGTAGTACCTTCGGAGACTCCAGCAATGACTTCAGGGCGCCAAAGTCTAGCTTCAATGGCTCTACTGGTAGAGTTTCAACCATCTCTGCCACAAAGGTGTAGAGCGGCTTCATCTCATTGGATTCAAGGTCAAGTGAGACCTGGCACACAGCAGTCAGTCATGAGTCATGAGTCCTCCTGCAATGAGTCCTAAGTCCTTGTATAGAGGAAAATGACACGTTAGTGTGAAGTGAAACGTGAATTTCTGAATCATTGATTTGTAAACCTGTTGTTGCATTGAATTGAACCCAAACAGGCCTTGGCATCAGGAATGCTTCGCAACAACCGTTGAAGCACCTGCACCACCTGATCACAATAGAAATCGTCGTACTTGGAGATGTTGGCTTTTGCCATCTGATAGGTTGTTGAGTTCATTTGACGCCATCTCTGCCAACGTAGGTCATCCAAGCAAAGGAAGGTCAAAAGACGGACATAGAAGGCTTCGTTAAAGCATGCGCCGCTACCAACCTGAGGCCAAATTTAACAAGGCAAACACAATGGGCCTCAATTGAAGCATTCCTCAGTGTTACAGATTGTGTCCACCACACTGCAACACCTGTTTGTCTCACCCTGAGATGCAGCCTAAGAGCAGCAGTTGGCATCAATGCCATAACTTCATCTGCCGAGAAAGAAGCACTGGCAACATGTTTGATGATCTTGCCCATGACACTTGCGACCTTCTCCAACTGAGCCAGCGCATCAATTGTTGCTTGGGAGCAATGGCCTTTACGGCGTTCGCAATTGCGATGACGTGTCCGAACCTTGGCATCAGAAGATTCATGAATCTGAACATTGAATTTATTCATGGAAACACACAGAAGCACTGAAGCACACAAAACCATTCTGACTCTGAGCAAATCTGAGCTGCCTCATTGCAGAACTTAAAGATATCTTTGCTTCTGGCAGACAGGAAGGTCTTGCCTTCTGCATCTATTGAAGGCATATCCACATTCAGCAGAGGAGAAAGCTTGCCAACCATGGTCTGGTACCATTGTTTGTCACTGTCGGTGATATCAACACCCTCAACAAGTGCCCCAAGTGCACACACACACACCCGCATTGTGCACTGATTGAGGCTCCCCCTTGTTCTGCTGCTCCTTTGGTGTGCTGGCTGAAACTGCAATGGATGGCTTCTGCGATGACGATGACTGTGTTGTCGGTGGCAACGACTCTTTCTGAGACGGCTGCTGCGGCTGCATTGAAATGACCCTCGCCCTCTTCGGAACAAACGATGGTGGCTGCATGGTCCCAGCTTTTGCTGGTGTCATAACGGTTTGAACTGTCTCAGCTGATCTTTTCTGAACTGGTGAAGCTGCTTTAGCTTGAGCTCGTCCGATGAAAGGAGCAGTTGGACCGGCCCCTGCTGCCTTGGGCGGAGGAGTGGGTGCTGCCTTGGGCGGAGGAGTTGGCGCCGGTCCCTTGGCTGGAGGAGCTTGTCCTCTCTTGGTCGGAGCAGCATTACCAGCAGGTGGTGGCTTGGGCGTAGCAGTTCCCTTAGCGACAGCTTTAGGCACTGCTTTGGACTGCTGAGAGTTAGCAAGAGCAGGAACCTGTTGCCTGCGGCCAAACATACCAAAGACTTTGTCGCGATGGTCTGCTTCATCCAGATCAGCACATTCACTGTGATCACCACTGAGAGTCTGAGGAATGTCTTTTGGCAGTGGTGTAGTAGTGCCCTGATCCGGACATTAAAAAAACACAAAGACATGTGACATGACTGCAATGATTCATTCATGAGTCATGATAAAAAAGAATATAATATCAGTGAATCAGGCCACAATACCAAACATGCCAACATGCATAGCACCTGTCTGGCTGGAATTGCTGTAGCACCTGCCACCGCTTGAACAGAACGCGCATACAAGCGATCCTTAGCAAATCAAATGCTTGGGCTCAAGCATACTTGAGTGCAAGGAAACAAATTCGTCAGTCAACGCTCACACCCACCATATTTGCTTGGCTATAGCTATGTCATCCACTGAGTGTCAGTGATCTCACCCATGTTGACGTCTCTATCATTCATGTCCGCTGTTTGAACTGCCACAGATCCAGATTCAGAGATCCGCTTGTATACGCCTTCCACTCCATCATCAAACAAGTCACGCCACACCCTTCCAACACATAGTACCTGTCACTGATACAAGTGATGACAAGACGACTGGAGAATACTTGAGCCACATGTAAAGCATGGTGTAACTGCAAGAAGCGATGTAACTAGCAGCACAGGGAATAGAATATTTTTGACAAGGTGCGAGGCTGCACATCACTCCATCAACCTCTTCTACAATCATGGAGTGGCTAGGTGGTGACTCTTCTGTTTGCTGTGTGTACAAGGACGGCACCACCAAATACTGAGTCGGCTTTTGCAACTTGGTTCCCTCATACTTCTGCAGTTGAATTTGCCTAAATCTGAAGCAGCCATCAGATCAGAATGTGCTGAAATTCACACATGATGGCACAAGACATCAACCAATGAAGAAAGGGGACACTGATGGGCCCAGCATAGAAGGATCCCTTATCCTGAGCGATGGGTTCTCATTCTTCAGGTGAATCAAATTCTCGCGTTGTTGCAACCACCTCAAACACACATCACAAACACACTGTCAAGTCATGAGAAATTCAGAAAGGTGACATTCAGAAAGGTGAATGAACGATTCATTGACAACTGCTGACAACAAGTTCACTCTCAAAATGACAACTGAGTCACAGGTGGTGAAGGTTGGGGTCTTTCAAGAGGACCACCTTCACTTTCTTGAGTCGTCCATACTTGTCAGCCCAACCTCCGAGAGTGTGTACCTGAGCGTTGAAAAAATTGTCCAGGTGGCTCCAGGTGTTGGTAGAATGTATCTAATATGAAGCAAGCAAAACTATGTGTTTGTGACAGCATGATTGTAAGTGCCTTAGTCTCACACGTTCACACATGGTCTGCAGTTTGGTCCGGCTGGTTTCCAACGTGTGCCCAGTGCCCATGGTATAAGAGGAGCCCAATTGTTCAGGTCAGCCCCTGTGAGAGTATACGGACTCAAAGTGATGCTCCATACTCCACACATTTGACATCCTGAGATGCTATGTGGTGTTTCATTGTCAGACTGCAGCAACATGACAGTGACAATGACTTGCTACTGCTTACCGCTACCGAAGCGCGTATGGCAACATAATCAATCGGAATGTCCACGTCCGGCGGAGGTGGTGGCGCTAGCTCACCGCATGACGATGCAGCCATTGATGGCAATGCCAAAAGCAAACTCAAAAGGCGCAAGCAAAAAGGCTCGATGTTTAACCAAATGGCTCTAGCGAGGATCGAACTGTTGCTGCATATGTTGACAGGTTGACACGCCGCACGAAGTATTTTTGAAAAATAAGGTTTATTTTTGGAAATTAAGGCTTATTTTTCAAAAATAAACCTTATTTTTCAAAAATAAATCTGCTGGCAATGCGCGTGGCAAAATCAGTTTCCGCTGAGTTCGGCCGTAGTTGGGTCCGGAACTATCAAGACTGACTGTACACACAGCGTAATGAACTTGCTGAATGCGATCCCCTGAATCAGCAGCCCATCACCCCATCACGCTGTTGAAATACATAAATATTGAAGTCAAATCAGCTGACAATCACCTCAACAAACATTAAGGATGAACTTCCAACAGCAACAATGCATTTGACAAATGTTTGAGCACATGCACCAACAAAACCCATATTTGGATCATATTCAGGTCTTTCACTTTCTTAATGAATACAAGGCGCATTGAACATTTGTTTGTGAGCTGGTCCTGCATCTTTCTCGGCAAATCGCAATTTCCCTGCCAACAGCCATTCCCCCATCTTAACCTCAGCTGAATAGGGCAGCCGCTTGGCTGACCTGATCACTTCACATCCACGGTGGCTGGCACACCTGACTTTGATGGAATGACCCGGCTGTCCAACGTTCCATTGGGTAATTCTGCCTCCGGCAAATTTCAATGAACAGCGACAAGCAGTGACAACTAGCAGCTCTGGACAGACTACAATGGCTTCCAACTTCCAACCTACTAGCAATGGCCTCCTACTAGCAATGGCCTCCAACCTACTAGCAATGGCCTTCAACTAGCAATTGTTTTGCTGTGCCTAAACGAGCAACCTTGGAGCCATCTTGCCCCAATTGCCACACTTGCCCCTTGCTGTCAATGTCATAGGAAGCATCCAACTGAATGTCGTTACCATCGGGGCCCTGCGCGAGAGAAGAGCAAAATATGACTCTGGCATACTTACATCATATGGCCCTTATAGCCTATAGCCTATAGCCTATAGCAAAGTGAAAACAAAAAAGGCACCCTAAGTTCTAAGTAGTCCTAAGTTCAAATGAGATCTCATCCAACTCTCAAACTCTTTGGTCCAGAAAATGCAATATATATATATCATATAGTATATAAATGTTCTAAAATACTATATAAAAAATATTATATGACACTTGGCATCGTTTAGTTTGTGTGCAACTATCAGCAGCAGTGGACATTCCTTTTTGACAGCCTGACCCCGGATATGTGATGTGATAGTGATAAGTTGATTGCTGTGCTCCACAGACTCTATAAATGGATTGAATTGGGAACAATCTCTACGAGCTTCCAGTGGCTTGTTTGGCTTGTTCGTAAGCTACAAAAAGACTGTAGCCAATCCAATAGTTGGCGAAATGCTTCAAATGCATAGAGCTGTCAACTTGAATGACTGGCGTGCTCAACGTACCCTCACTGTTGGTCTTGCCACTTTGCACCCAAGCAACTGTCATTCTCCAAGCACAAAGAGCCTTGTGGTTTGCTTCAGCACATTGAGGTTGATATGGCCTGATTCTGGCTTTCTTGTGCTCCCGCACATGAATCGACCATCCTGGCCTGACAATTACTTCGCACCAAAGATCGCTCCCCCCTGAGACGGGTTTGTGTTTGATCAAGTTTTGCACTTGAGGAACCAAAAACATCTCCTCAAACCCAGCCCCTTGAGCATCAATCGGGGCTTCCATTGACTGGCCAGATGATCCCTTCCAGCAACCTTCAACTGGTGGCTGTGCAAGCAAAGTGCAGCTTTGTTCTGAAATACGAAGTCGCACTGAGTTCTCCTCAGCCTGGCTTTCCACATGCCAGGTTCCTCTGGCGCCTACTGTCAAGTCAACACGAATCGGTGAAGAAGTCACAGAAGATGAGCAACCACCCCGCACACTGCAAACCATCAAAGAGAACAACTTTTTCAGTAGTTCACCACATAGCAACAGCCCACAAGTCACAAGCGCCAGGAAAACCCAATCTCCGGACACGCTTTCTGTCATTTGATCATGTGGCGGCATTGGTAGCGAGTCCAAGACTCAACAAACAAAACAGTTTATGGCACTATCACTGTGTCTATGTCAGACTTGAGCCGAATTTTGGTTGACATTCATATGTGCAAAAGGACTGCTTTAAACATTCAAAAGGTTCTGCAACAGAGTGCACCAGCACGCTGCTACAGTCAAAGTAACTTGACTCAAACAATTTTAAGAGCATGACAACATCCCGGCTTCAATCCAACCCGAAGTCGCCTGAGATTGCACAGCGGCAGGCTTTCTCAGCTTGGATGATGAGGACTGAGATTGCACAGCGGCACGCTGTCTTGGCTTGGATGATGAGGAGGAGGATTGAGCATTCTTCTTGGATTCAGATTGAGAACTCTTGCTGAGAAAGGCAGGAATGTAGCCGGCCTGCACTGCATGAGCATCGAGCCACTCACTGGCCAGTTCTTCATCCAATCCCATCAGATTGCTGAACGGGTTATGTGTTTTCTGTCTCCCCTTGCTCCCTGCCGCATCTCTTGTTGATTTTGATTGCCTCCCCTTGTTCTCTGGCTGCTTGCCTCCTGACATTGCCAGTCGGAATGGTGAACGACATCGAGTCACTTGAAAAGTAATATCTATTCATAATTGTAATGATCATAATTCATAATCATACCTACCATATCATATCTATTACAATCGCAGGAGTTGAGTGCAGTGAAATTAGTCGTCTATAATTATAATTAATTTGCAGTGGCCTATTTTGTGTATCCTAATTTGTCCTCGATATGACCCATGGATAATGATATGATTTGATGATTGACAATCAAAAACAATGATTGATTATTATGATGATTGTATTTTCTTTTGAGCGCAAGGACAGGTTGCCTACTAACAACCTAGAATTCACAAGAACCATGTGTATTTATCATTGTTAGTCTTGTACAAAACAACACCCAGCCGCACCACAAGAAAATAGCACGACGACGACAACACAACAAACCAACGACTGACAACCAAGTCCTGATTGAACTGAGTCAGGTTTGGTGGAGAAGGATTTGATAAATCGCAAGCACTGCTGAAGCTGTGCTTCGCCCTTGTTCTCCTCAGGCTCCTCCCCACCAGACGCTTCGGAGTCGCCGTCGCTGTTGTCTGGATTCAACAGTGCTCCAGCAGCATCCTCCTGATTCCATCCTGTCCAAGAAGACTCATCTGTGCGCAGCAAAATGTTCTGCAATGGCTGCATCCAATCTAAATCATAAGTTGGTAGCATATAAGATAGCATGTCCACCTCCTCAGCAGCAACTTCTCGCACGATCATACGCTTGATTGAGTCCATGCTGTCTATCAAAGGCAAGCATACCTTGTCAGTTGCGTTGACCATTTGCAAAGAGGCACCCATGCCAACATTATCCAAAGTCTCTCGCAATTCCAGCCGCATGCACCAAAAATAGAAAGGCCTGAATGTCGCCCTGACAATAATCCAGGCCAATTGCTTCCCACCATCATCAGGTTGGACCAAAAGAACGGTGTGACAACTCTGGCTTGTAATGGCAGGTCCAGCAGTCTTGGCCTGTTGCTTCATTAATCTAACAAGGTTGCTCAACAGACCTGAGACAAGAGTCTCAATCGCTCCAGCCTCATGACTCACAGGCTTGCTATCTGAAGGCAATCTTGGCAAACTGACCTTTCCAATCACTGAGCTGAAGTTAGCTCTCCAAATGTCGTCGGCCCTCTTCACAAAGTTCTTAATCGAATGAACAGCAGTGATCAAGGAAACCCCAAGCGGATAGTCATTGTCACCGGTTGTTGCGAGCAAGCCTCTGTGACTTCCCTCATCCGCTTGGTCAGAATTCAAATTGCTGCTGGAGGCACTTCTCTGATACATTGAGCCTTCACGCTTCTTGTTCATCTCCACAGCTTTGAGCCTCATACTTTCGCGAAGCTGCTCATTGTCCTGCAGTCAAAGAACAAAGAACATTTTCTTTGGCAACTATGCTGCTATGCTTGTAACTTGTAACTTGTAACATGTTAGATACATTCATTCGCATTCATTAACATCATTGACATACAGCCTCGGCTATTTCCCAACTTGAATGACTCAAAACTACTTAAAACATCACTGGTTCAGATTCAGGTCCTAAAATTGTGACCTGACTACATGACATTATTCGCTACTACTTGTTTTGCTTTTACATACTCATCACTCATGAGTCAGGAGCCTTTCAAGTTTGACAGAAGAACCCAGCTCCTTCCAAGTTTGCTGCGCAAGAGCAACAACCCTTGAAACTCTGTCACGGGCTGATTCGCCAGGAAGCTGGTGTGATTGCTCCAAAACTTGCGAGCGATACAAAGTCCATCCATTGAACAGTTTGACCCGCTTTTTTTCCTCCTGACAATCGTCTGCTAAGGTGCTTGACAAAGTGGCCACTGGTTGCAAAGGACATCCAGAAATTGTGCTCATCACCTGTTGCTCCAAGTCTCCCATTCGTTGCAAAAGTGAAGACGAAGACGACCCGGTCAAAGGCACTGCAGCAGGGCCATTCAGCACAGCAAACTGCAAGGAGGAAGAGGAGGAACTGCTGACAGCCGCTGATTCTTCACTGAACAGATTCAATGCTTCTGGCTTCTTCAAGTCGAGCCCTAGCTGCTTGAAATCATGCTGAGGTATGAGTCTGAGTTTCTGAGGTTTACGCGACTGTTTCAAGCATGACTTCCGAACAGCAGTCTTCAAACCAAAGGATTGTCTGTGAGCGGCTTTCAGCTCAGCCAATATGTGCTTGCTTACCCCACTGGATTGAAGGTAAGACTTGCCGTTGCCTGCTTTCCGCATGCAAACCGCTCTGGCGAAATTATCTTCAATTTGCACATTCTGACATTTTGTCATTGTCAGCCCATCGATGGCAGCAAAACGCTTCCCGCCAGGAAGAATATCAGCTGGATCTGCAATCAACGCCCTCAGCCGCCTTGAGAATCTCAAGTCTAGGGTGTCCAGCTCTGCAGAAACAAATTCTTCAGCCACTTTCTTGCGATCTGGCAAGCTCACCCTAGGGTCTGCCAACTGACAAAGTTTCCAAGGAAACTTCTGGTACGGCATGTGCAACCGACACCAAACCTCACCCAATACCGTAAGCAATGCGAAGAAGGCTTTGCTCAGAGTTGGTGTGCTTGGCAACTGCCGCTGCTGGTTTGAAGCAAACTCGCACCCTGCCAATCCTCACAATTGCAGAAACAATATACATCACCAATCACCACCCTCATGTTTATATAACGTCATGATTCAGAATAAATTCAATTCTTCATGATTCATGATTCATGACTGATTCATGTTTCAGATTTATTGAGCTGATTGGTGCAGGGATCTATGATACACACAATAGATGTGAACAAATTATACATCCAATTCTGATTCTGATTTAGCTGGATTACTTTCTTGCTCCACAACTTGCGCATCAAATCTCAAATAAACTGCTTGTACTGATGCTTTTATGAGTCTCCATCCAGCATGGGGAAGGCAACATGAGGGTGTTCTTGCAGCATGTTGCACAATTCAGTCAGTACCATCGCTGCAGGGCTGTGACAAGGATTCGCCAAGTTCACAACAGGGCGGCAAGTGATGTCTTCGCTCAACCAAGTCTCTTCCTTGGCTGGCGAGAAAAACAGCTTAAACAATACCAGAAGTCAGAAGTCATTGCAGCGGTATGGCTTGAACCGTTGGACGCAAACGGAACACAAGGAATACTGGTTAGGAGGAGAAGGGTAGAGGTAGAAGCACAAACAAATGCACACCTGCTAAATCCTGGCTTTCATAGCCTACTACTTGACAGCTTCAGAATACTGATTCGTTTCCGTTCATTCCAGTGAATTTCAATCAAGCTGTCAAAAAAAGGAACCTCCAGCAGCAATCTCTCCAAAAACCTTTCAGAAGTTCCCTTCCCTTCCCTTCCCGCTCCTTCCCTTCCCGCACTAATTCACCCCACACTAGTTATACAGCTGCACATGTGCCTTCAGCCTCCAGTGTTGAGTTCCTACCACACCTCAAATCTAGAGTGATGTTCGGCGCAGCTGCGGTCATGAAAAGAATACAGAAACAGCATCAATTCAGTTGATATAATATATAATACTGTATAATATAAGGATAGAGGTTGCAATGACATAAATATTTTCTTTAAAAAAACAACCCTTGCCAATGACCACCAAGACTCTTTCTGTTGTTGGAATACCCAAATGGCAAAATGGTCTGCAGGCTTAGTAACATGGATGCTGATGGCGAGATTTGGTGGTGTCTCAGGGCATACGACCCAACTCAACGCTTTCTTTGCTCTGACCCGAATAATCTTGCATTCTGGTAGCTCTGGGAGGATGAAAGCAGAAGCTGCATCTGAACCCACATTGTCGTTCAATTCGCTAACGATTTGGTGCAAGCTCTTCCCCATGACGTTGTAAGAAGAGGACTTTGTCTGAGGCATGCGGTACAAAGAGGTGGTTGCATGTTTGTATATCCCATGTACGCCAAAAGCTATCATGAACCACTTGGATGTTGTACCACACCTCATCCATCTTGCCAACGCTGGTGTCTTTGGACGGGACCCCATCACCACAGAAGTGTACAGAATGACGGCCTTTGTCTTCAGTTGCTCCAAAGACCGGCAACCACACTGGCAGCTCAAGGAACAATAGTGAACCAACCCCTGTGTTGTACAATCCCTCCAGTCTCCATTGAAGATACACCTGAATGCCTCCAGCTGGTTTTGTTTCTGGGAGTGCTTCTGATGTTCCGGTTCCTCATCATCAGAGCTATCCCCATCCACAGAACAGAGCTTCATGATGGTGTCGGCATACTCTGTCCAAGATGCATCGGGCCTGCAAAAACAAAAGCAGCAACACTGCAACACACACAGAGTTCGCACGCAACAAATGCCATCTGAAGTTCTCTGAAGCAAAACCATGTGCCTGCGATGCTCAACTCTGAGGTGCTTGAATATGTATTGCGCAGCGTGCAGGATCAAATCAAAGAAGCAATTCCCAGAGCTCAATATCTTTGTGGCGCAGAACCTAGAAGAAACATGAAACAACAGCCAAAGTTTCTATACACTAAACGCCAAGTGTTTGCGGTTCAATGTCACTGCCTTCCCCTAGTCCTGCCGAGCAACATGGCTCCAATTGACGCTCCCTTGAATACTGATGACACACAATGGTTCACTTCACGCCTTGGCAAAGCAGCAATGATTAGCTCTTGGCAATTCGCTGTATATATATATATCATATATAATATATCATAAAATAAGACGCATAGTCTCATATCTATATATTTACGATTGATATTGATATGATTCAGAGTCAAAGTCAAAGTTATGAGTGATGTCCATGTCATAATAATAGTAAAATTAAAATAGTCTATAGTCTATAGTTCACTTTACAAGTAGGCTCACCCTGAATCTTGAAGCAGGCAGAAAATGGAGCAGTTGGAATTAAAACAAGGCACGCTGCACAATGATGGTGTGCCACCAAACAGTTCGCAGGAACAGAGTGTGCGAGGTACTTTGACAGCTTCTGGTTGCTAGTCGCCCAGTCTGACACTAGTGTCAGAAGAAAAACCTCTGACCGTTGCGACCAGCCTCACTGCTCGGGCTCAACAAGTAGCTCAACAAGTAGATCAAGTAGATCAACAAGTAGCAACAACCTGTTCTGCGGTGATGCGCTATTTTGCCAAGATTCTTATCGGGTGCACAGGCTGGCTAGCGACCAGGCCATTCCAAATGGATCCAGCTGATGTAGAACGAAGGGTTTGTGGAGGTAGGATCATTGATGTTGACCTCAGAGGTTTAAGGTTTGCAAATGACAGTACGCATCCACTCCTATCCCCAAACTTTCTGGCTCTCCTAGCTGACAAGCCAAGTCACCATTGCAAACCACCAGGAGAGCAAGTCAGGAGGTGTGCTCTGGAAACCTTGTCGGGACCCAAATGATTGTTTCAACTTGACTCCAACTCCTGGATGCAAAAAGATCCATGAATTTGAAGGAAGGAAGCAAATACAAAAATCTAAACGTAACATAACATATATCAAATGGTTTGATATTGATATGACTATATGACTATGACTATGACTCTATGACACTGACAAATCAATTGAACATCAAGATGACACTGACTTGCCACTGCCCTCGCATCGTCATCGAAGCAAGCAAGGAACCAGCACAGGGAAGCAAGCTGTTGACTGCATCCATCCAGAACAAATGGATTGCTGCTGCTGGGTTTCATCGAACTCTACATGTAGCCGGGCAAAAGCAATATGCGGTGCCTCCCAAATGGATGCAAGTCTGAATGTGAACAGAGAGCGTGAACATGAGCAACACAAGTAAACAGGGTAGTTAGTTGTGTTCTTGGCATTCTTTGTAGCAGTGTCGGATTCAAGCCTGCTGCTGAATGAACTTCATAGCTCTCGTTTGGCACTTCAGAAAGACATAGGCCAACGCATTCCTCACCTCAGCTGTGGTGCATATGTAGGTCACAGTCCTCTTAAGAGCTCTAGCCTCTAGCATACTGACACCATCCTGCTTCACTGCCTCACGGTTTAGCAGAACAACACAGTGACCCTCAAGGTACATATACAGATATACTATTTGTGTGACTATGTAGGTCTGAGTCACCCTTGCAATATGGGTAGTGGAAGAGCCCATCCAGTAACTCAAGGCGTTCAGTGAGTACATGCACGGCGACTTTTGCTGTATGGATGCCACTGCCGATAATGTAGAATGGCCGAACCTTGCTGCAGGGTTGCACAGGACTTCCAAACAAAGGAGGCGGTGGGAGTAGCCAGAAACTACCCTCCAACACAGGTCTGTGGCTCATCGACATTTGAGGATAGGATAGGCGTTCATTTGATATTTTCTGTGTTTCATGATTCAGGTTCCATTTGCTCAGCTGAAGCTGTGGGATGCAACTGCCAGCCATTATCTACTGTCAGATAAGTTAAGCAGTGACAATGTATAACTAACAAGACAATCGGGCCAAGCTATTGACCCTACGTTGTAGACTGATTATGTCATGTCATCTACTGACCAGCTCTGGCTGATCTAGAATGCTGCCTGGAAACGCAACACGTAACAAAGAGTTCGGGGTGTGTCGCTTCCAGTTGCCTTTGCCAGTTACCTTCTTCACAGCCACATCTTTCCATCTCACAGCATGGTGCTTTTCATATCGGCCAATCGCCAACCTGCAAAGCAGGGAAAAGGATTGGAGAACACTCACACTGCGTCATCGATCAACACCTTCAATTGAGAACAAAACGTGACTTGCTGAGCAACTGCAAACTTTCTCAATGCAGTGGTGCAGAACAGTACAAGCCCGGCATGTAACTGTAAAAAAGAAGAAACACCCCTAGCCTGCCTCACGCTTTGCTGGAAATCCTTTTTCTGAGTTGAAGCCCTGCGCAAAAGCTTTCCTTGGAGCATTGTTTTTTTGGGGGGGGTGTGCAGATCGATCAACGACCTCCAACCTAGAAGCGATGGCCTCCAACAGCCTACTAGCGATGGATGGCCTTCAACCTACTAGGGATGGCCTCCAACCTACTAGGGACGGATGGCCTCCAACATAACTTACTGTAACTCAAACCTCCCAACAGCATATCATAAAAGTCAATCTCCTCCGATTATCATATCGAATCAAAATGCTTCCTGCAAGGGGCCAGCCCGAGCGAGTTTCGCAGTCAACTTCCTGCTTGCTCTTGCTCGCTGTCGCTGCACTCCATTGTCCATGGCAGGACCAGGATCACAGAATCACAATTTTTTTTATATTATATAATTTATATAATGTAATGTAAAATAATTGTATTACATTGTATGAATTACGTCTAGAGTCTTAATCAATATTTCTCTCAGCTTGTGGAGGAAAAGCAGTGTAGGTAGGGCTACATGGAACATGAATCAGGACCAGGACTAGGACTCATTGCATGTCCCTGGTTCATCATGATCAAACCTTGGCAGCGGGGCTGGCAAGTCCTGTGTTCGCGCAAGGACTAGCTTTCCCTTCAAATACGGAATGATTCCGGTTCCAATTGCAGATTGCTGCTTCCTAAAAACAAAAACAGCAAACAAGTGATGGTTCCATAGTGAGTTTGGCAATTGGCGATTCCTGAAACAAATAGCACTGCAAGCTGCAAGAGTTTGCAAACATGTGAAAGTGAAAGAGCACTGCCCGGCAATCTGAACCATTTGCCCCCAGCGGATGTAATTCCACCGACCGTGTTCGAAGGAATGATCTCACTTGCCGCATGTCTTGAGTTTTAAGTTTTAAGTTTCTTCCTAGTCAGAGTCTCGGGTTTAGGCTAGGCTAAAAGTCTGCGGTAGCTAGATCTTCATGGGCAGCTCACCTTCACTCATCAATATTCTCAATAACTTTTAGTCACACCTTTCATTGCTATCATCGCCATTTGCATCGCCATCTTGTTTATTTGACAACAGTTGAGCCCCTTTATGTTTCTTGGCATCTTAGTTTGGGTCTCGGTCTCAGGCTAAATGTCAGCAGTAACGGCGGTAACAGTGTTAACTTATGTGTTGAGTAGATGTCTATATGCCAATGTTCATGTCATGTCATTATTACACTAACTAACACACAGACACATGCATTCACTGTCAGAGTCATAGTACTCATACCTTTCACTGCCATCAGCGCCATCCGTATCATTTATCCGACAATGTCCATGGTTGAACCCCTTTGTGACACACACACACCCAGCTTGTCATCATTTCTTCCCCATGTTTGTCACCACAGTGATCGCCATCCTGTTTAACACACGCCGTGTGCATCACCGTTTTCTTTGCCACATAAATTTGGTTGTCGCCATCCTAATTGCCACCTTTGTCGCCCCCTTGCTTGACACTCGTCATCATCATCACCATTGTCATCGCCATCTTCTTCGCCATTTTACTTGACATCCGCCGTTATCATCGCCATCTTCTTCGCCATCTTGCTTGACACTCGCCATCGTCGTCGCCATCTTCCTCGCCATTTTACTTGACACCCGCCATCGTCATCGCCATCTTCCTCGCCATCTTACTTGACACCCGCCATTGTCATCGCCATCTTCTTCGCCATCTTCTTTGCCATACGCCAACCCCGTCGCCACACATGCCCGTCATGCTCGTCTCAAGCAGCACTAGAAAGCATAAAAGCATACGTTTTAAATTTAGACAAGGTACAATGTGTTTTATTTGGTTCATGTAGTTTTTGTTTCAACCGAGCAAGTCCTCTATTCAACCATGCTTATCTACACCTTTGAGCTGCAAAGCTCTGCAGAACAAACACCAGGTTTGCGAACCAGCAGCACAGCGGCCACAAGTCCATGGAACGGTCAGTTCTTCGGGAGGTGGTCCTGACACACATTCATGACCTGCAGACAGACGACCCTCATTCAACATGGAAGCTTGCGCCGCCAAGTATGGCGACTGCATGGATGCAGCACATCGGTGCTTCATTCTTGCCAGAGGCATTGTATATTTCACAGTCTGCGAATCGTTGTCACGCTGGCGATGTTGTGTGCATCAGCCAGCCGCCATCGTTGGCGAAAGTGCTCATTCATGTGCGATACGGAGGAAATTGCTTGGCTTTAGTCAAATTCTTCGAAAAGTGTGGTATGAACACATTTAGAATGTCCCATGATGCTGGATTGCATTTCGTCGATTTGCATTGTGTTGAGGGTGCTCTTGCATACAAGCAGCTGGATGATGAAAGAGTCCTTGTTGCGCCGCAAAGCTTCTACAAACCCACTGTGACCAAAGGTCTGTGAACCTATCATCATATCATCCCCATGTGTTTTCATATGTTGTGATTTTCACTATGTTTTCTGCTTTGGCAAACACGCATCGTGATCAAACACTGTTAGATTTTGCGAGAAGCTGTTTCACACACCCCTTTTCCTGAGCCGGCAGCTTTCGTTTTGCCAGATCGGAAATCCACGCGCGTGCGCTGATGGCGTTGAGTATGAATGCAAATGTGATGAATCGTTTTGCCATCGAGGATTTGGTAAAAGGAATGAACGTAGTTTGATTTTGAACACCATTCTCTTAACAGAGACACAAAGATAGCAACCTGTTTGTTCATCACGGTTCTCATGAGAAGTTTCTCGCGCGTTTGCAAGCAACAATGACACAGTTTGGAAGTTTTGGCTTGCTCTTGTTATAGCAACGGTTGTATACTTCCCTTGTCTCTCCATGGCGTTGGCTGAACCATCGTCGGCAACGCTCCCTACGCCGAGCGTCAAGGATCTCCTCACTGATGTCATGGTGTTGGTCATAGAGTTGAAGGCTGAACTTGCAGTGGCTCAAACCCAACTGGGAAAGGTGGAGGATACGTTGGTTGCTTTGAAAAAGGCATTTGGCTTGAGCGATGATCCAACCCCCTATCAGTTTAGTGGTACTCGCCCACGTCATGAGCTGGAAGGTCCTGAGGAGAGGGAACACAAACGGCTCAAGCAAGTGTACCAAACGAAGAGGAGAGCTGGCGCACCCACTGCCTCATTGGGTGGCTTTGCCGACTCGGGGCCAGGGATGAATGAAACTCCTTCGGTGTTCGAGGCAACGTTTGTTCAGCGAGATTAGTCTCATGAGTCTCATAGCAGTTCACTTAGTCATGACTTTGTGGTCATGCGGTGTTCTAATTTTGTCGATGACGACGGAAGAATGGCAAGCAAGACCGCGTTGTGAAAAGATCGTATGAACTGACGTGCTCCATCAACCCATGCAACTTCATGATGGTCATTATGTGTTTACATGTGGACTATATGTACTTTGGTATTTCACGTGTATGCACCTATAGTGCATCACAAGCGAGCAGTGCCACGCTTGTGCCAACAGCGAGCCAAGCCCTGCTGCTGGATATATCCGAGCCACACGTGGCCTCCAGGTATATCTCACTTCCTCGAGGTCACGGACATCATGGTCATTTCGGTTTCCGATGGAGGACTACATGCCGCCCATGCCGAACATGTTTGTTCCAAACCTTCTGATGCAGTCTAAACATCACTCAGAAATTTTAGGTGCATACTTGCCTTTTCGCCTTTCCTTGCAAGGGCTTTGCGTTCTGCTTGCACGTTGCAACAAATCTGAGATGACGTGGTTCGATGTTTGTCCCAAGTATACTTATATGATTATATATAGAGAGAGTTGTCCAAATCTGTTTGGAATCCAATGGTATTCTTTTCTAACCCACTGCTTTCTTTATGCCGCAGGCATTGTCAACATCGCTGACCGGATGGATAGCATCAGATTTCAGGCCAGCGTGCGTGTCATTTCAGCAAACCTCTATGTCTAAAAATGACGGTTGAAGCCGTTGAGTTACCGTTGAATGTTTGGCATGTTCCCTTCTTTGTTTTCTTTTGCTGGTCGCTAGCAAAACACCTATATCAAATGGAATTGTATGAATGGTTTTGTTTGGGCTTTGAGTTGCTGCCTGTGTCATCTAATAAATATAAACACTACTGGTGCGAATAAGCAATCCAGAAAGTGATCAAAACATATCATATGAACGTAAATACGCAGCATGAAAAGTATACACATTACAAAGACAATGGTTTGAGGTTACCGTGCTTGGGCAACATGTGCAGGTCCTTGCGGATGGTACTTCTGAGCGCGACTGCTGGCTGAGTGGCTGGCGATCATAGGCTGTGAGTGAACTGAACAAACGACATGCGTTTACCTCAAGATATTCACATTTACAAACTGAAGTGCTATCATTGATGTTTGTATCACATAGGGTGGGGATAACGAGACACAACTATTTCTAGATATGTATCTAAAAACTGATATCCGTTGTTTACATTTGTTGCTCACAACAGGAAACCCCATCTGACATAGTATTATTTCTATCGTAAATACGCAGAAGGCCAAGTGGCCATTAAGTTGGGAAGCGGCTCTTTTGCACATGTGCTTGGGTCTTGGAATTGTGGCAACACATGTTGCTTTTGGTGACCGTATATGTCAGTTGGGAGGCTACAATCCACCAAAACTTGTTCAACGTGCGCCACTTATTTTGGCTACTCGTCCTGATGTGCAAAGAAAGACCCACCACATAACGCAGCTCAGGTTAGATTCGATCGAGTGAACCCTTGCAAAGCGAAAATGGTGGTGACGCCCACGCGCGCTGAAGATGTGATTGCAAAACGTTTCTAGCAACATTGGAACCTGAGAATCATCAAGCTGTATATACATCCGCTTGGAATTGTTGTGTGTTGGTGGTCGTATGTCGGAATACTGGATATTCGATTGTGTTGGCTGCGCATGCCATGTATCAAAGTTCGTTTCTATGGGTTTGGGCTGTTCTTCAAGACTGTTTTTCAAACTGCCAGGTGATCGAGGGTCTTCAAAAAGTGCTTGTTTTTGTAAGCACTTTTCAAAGCAGGTTTGTCATCATATAGATTTCGTGCGCACCGCGCGATATAGCAGAGTGGAATGTGTACAACGTGCCATCAGGCGTTGACAATTTGCCTGCCTATATAGCAATGCTTGCTCCCAACTACGTAAGCATCAAAATCGAATCTCAGAAGATGTTCCATCACTATGAACATCACTTATTTCTGAACCCACCGTCCGATATAACAATGTTTGATAAAGACGTTCGATTGACTAGGGCAGAATATAGCCAGGACAAGAAAATAGATGGTATGTATGCCAACTGTCGGGCCACACATAGTAGATAGCCTAATTTTTCGGGCGGTACAATGCGACCAACATATCACCATGGTTGATCAGTTTTCTTGGATGAGTGTGCCGGTTTTAAAGAGACAAAACAATGTATAGGATATGCAGCAAAACTAGATCCGTAATACTTTGTAGGGGCTCAAGTCAAAAGATTTGCGAACGAGCGGACCACTTGCATGGTCCACTTGTATGTCGATGAGCGCACTCAAAAGTGCCATGGGCAGAGTTTGTGCTTCGAAGGGTGATATAATTTGCAAGTGGTCGTCTGGTTTTTCATTGCGACGACGTGCGCAAAACAGTTTTTCAACATACGGGGCGCGTCACCAAAACCTAAAAACGCATCCAAAATTAAAAGCTTACTGTCGAATAAATTTGCTCCTCTCCAGGACTTAGCGCACTTAGCTAAGTTACTTAATCTACACTTATCACATGTGCACCCACCCGCCCTAAGTGCGCTAAGTCCATTTGTATATGTGATGCAAGTGGACTTAGCTAAGTGGGTTAAGTCTCTTCTTGCAAGCGTCATAAGTATACTTCGCTTAAGCAAGCTAACTACTTAGTAAGTGGCTTTTGTACTTAGTAACTTACCTATCTACATACTAACCAGCCTGACCCTCCAAGTAGAGCGTCGCTCATACCAGCTGGCCACAGCCCCAGGGACGACTCCCAGGCCTCTTGACAAGTGCGCACTTCGTTCGATCCTCGTTTGTATCGCCAGAAGAAAACCCGAGCTCGATCCCTTTTCGTGCTACCTATTTTCGACCGCAACGGCTGAACGAGTCCGAGCGGACAGCAAAAAAGGAGCGGTTATGCTTTTCGTTGTGCTTTCTTGTGAATGTAGAATGCAGCTGTCTTGTGATGTGCGCTTTCACGTTGTTGTGGAATGTGCCACACACTCCGCACCAAGACGCAGTAAACCGCAGACGTACAAACAAGCACAAACAAAGCGTGCCAACGCAGAGGTTTGCGCGGGGGCTGGGACCTGGGGCATCCCTGCTGTCTAGTGAATGTGGAATGTGATGTGCGCTTTCATGTTTTTGGTTGCCTGTGCGACACATTTCGCACCCAGACGCAGTCAACCACAGACACACAAACACTTACAAACAAAGCGTCCCTGCTGTCTTGTGAACAAACAAAGCGTGCCAGAACAGAGGTTTGCGCGGGGGATGGGACATGCGGCATCCCTGCTGTCTTGTGCATGTGGAATGTGAAGTGCGCTTTCAACCACAGACACACAAACAATTACAAACAAAGCACCCCCGCTGTCTTGTGAATGTGGAATGCAGCTGTCTGGTGATGTGCGCTTTCGTTTTTTTTTTGTGCCCTGTGCTACACATTTCGCAGCACAACTTGGAGCCGTGCCCAAAAAAGGACGCATGAACTCGTGTGAAAAACCTGCCTGAGTGGACCTGTGCGAAGTCTCTGCCGACAGCTCGCATACGCTCGGTGTCGCTGGCCGTTCTAACTTCGGGTCGGGTGCGTGGGTAGTGCGCGCGCACGCGCCTGCAACAGCGTGGTCGCGCGCGCGCCGTCCGGGGGACGTAGGTTTTGGTCAGAAGTGGAGAACATGAGTTTGTGCACATGGCTCTAGCAAGCGCACGCATACATGCAAGACACATGGCATCGAATTCTAAGTGGTGGTAATGGGAGAAGACAGACGCCACACAGAGGTTGGAGTCGGTACATGGTGCTGCAACCCAATCGTAAGAAGCACATGCAACAGAATCTGGAGACTGTCTCCTTCAAGGGATTTTCCGCGTTGCGTCGCTCCAAAGTGAGCGGTGCAAGCGCCTGGCGTCGATGCATACACATTGGAGTCGGACCCTACCCAGTCGCTGGTTCCTGTGCACTTGGCTTCTGGCTAGCAGCTGTGCTATCTTGTGCAGCTCTGCAAGGCATTTGGACCTATTCTTGCTGTTGTTGCTTCGGGGCTCAGGGGCCCTTTTGGAATTGGTACATTGCATGTCACTCACTCTTGTCATTGTCACTCATAGTTACATGCGAATCTCATGATCGCCGGCAATAACAGGGGAAGGTTCTCCATTCCGGCAATATCAGGTTAAGACACAAAGGCAAATTTAGAATTGGTGCTAAGCTTAGACAGTTACATAAACTAAAAAAGTTTCATTAAATTAGACTCTAAAAATTAATAACTTAATTAAATAGGCTTGAGGCCGCCGTCGTGAACCGGCTCAAGAAGCAGCATTCTCACGCGGCGCTTTTACTCTGCACCATGGTGGCATTGCGCTGATGGCTTTCTTGCCACCGACTCTGCCCGGTGGCTTCGCGCCGCTGGGCGACCGTGGTCGGCTTAGCGCCGACGACTGATCCTGGCGGCTCCGGGCCGCTGGGCTGCCATGGTCGGCTCATCGCCGACTGTGGCCACTATGGTCGGCTCAGCGCCGACTATGGCCCGGCGACTTCGCGCCGCTGGGCTATATACTGCCACGATCGGCTTAGCGCCGACTGTGGCCACCATGGTCGGCTCAGCGCCGACTATTATGGCCCGGCGGCTTCGCGCCGCTGGGCTATACCGCGGTCGGCTGAGCGCCGACTGTGGCCACCATGGTCGGCTCAGCGCCGACTATATGGCCCGGCGGCTTTGCGCCTCTGGGCTATACCACGGTCGGCTTAGCGCCGACTGTGGCCACCATGGTTGGCTCAGCGCCGACTATGGCCCGGCGGCTTTGCGCCGCTGGGCTATACCATGGTCGGCTCAGCGCCGATATGGCCCGGTGGCTTCGCGCCGCTGGGTCGCCATTGTTGGCTTCACGCCGACTATGGCCCGGCGGCTTCGCGCCTCTGGGTCGCCATTGTCGGCTCAGCGCCGACTATGGGCTTGGCTTCGCGCTGACTTTTACCACGCGGCTTCGCGCCGCTGTGTTGGCATGTCAGCCACGCTGGGCCTTTTGCCGACGAGGTCTTGTAGGCTACTTCGTCTGCTTCACCCTCGGCCGGATTGCATTAAAAGACGCGCGTTGTCACTCTATTGTCGATGCCACAGGTTCTGCATGCTCCGCCAATGCATGTGGTCCACATGCTACGTTGACACTTCGGCAGTCTTGGCTCAGCTCGGCGCGTAGCTAGGCAGGGTATGATGGAAGCCTTTTTGGGCAGCGTTGGCGACTCGTCGTTCTCGCAATTGGTCGACAATGACCTGGACAAGGACGCGAAGCAGGAGGATGTTGAGTTGAAGCAGGACAAAAAAAGGTCGAAGAGAACGACGCGCGCAAAAGGAGTTCAGTTCGCAGAGGACGCCTTCGACGACGAGAAAGTCCAGGTCGAGTCAATGTCAAGAAAGGCGGCTAAGAAGGAGGAGGCCGTCAAAGTCCACGTCGAGTCAAGAAAGGCGGTTAAGCAGGAGGAGGTGATGGAAACTGAAGACCAATGGCTACCTGTGGCCGCTGATCCATACGGAGCTGGAACTGATGGCATGGACCTGGAGATCCCGACCAAGCGAGCCATGCAGCGGGCTTTGCAGGGTTTTACTCGTAGAGGTGGAGGGAAGAAACACAAAAAGGCTGGCACCCGTCCAGCCAAGCGGCCGTCGAAAAAAGATGACTCAGAGACTCACTGTCAATGGTTCCGCAGTGCAGTTGACCTGTGCAGTTGACAGGAATTAAATTAATTATTGTCCTGCAGGTGTTTTCCACTCAAGCGCGTTCTGAGCGAAGAACATGTCGGAGCGTCGCAGAGGCAAGTCTGTGGACCCCAGAAGGCCACCAGAGCCGTCGCGCCCGCCTGGGCTTTCGACGGTACCTAAGGCATCTGCGGCATCTGCTGCCACTCCACCTGTGGTGGTGCAGCGCTACAGCGGCGGGGCTGAGGGCGAGCGCGGGCAACGTGACCGACGTCGATGTCATGATGGCTTTGCAGGAGAACGTGGACGAAGTCGCAGCCGTGAACGACGTCGTCGTCGTCATCGGGAGGGGTCGATGGCAGCTCCTCCTGCAGCGCGACCTGCTGCACCTGCGCCGCCTCGGTCCGCGTCGTCCTCCGAGAGCAGCGTGGAAGACGTTGAAGAGGAGGAGCCGCCGAATGCAGGTGCTATGGTGCCAGCACAGCGTGCCACGACGACGACGGCGCCTGAACCTGCCGCCCCCGCTGTGCCTTGGTTCCAGAATAAGGCTGACGAGATGGCGTGCAAGGCAAGCTCGTTCAGCAGGGCCCTGACCAGGGCGCAGCAAGCCCTGAAGACAGCTGCGAGGATTTCCCGCGAGGCAGCAATGGACTTTGAGGCGGAGCTTGAGAACTTTGCCTTGGCCCAGAAGGACATCGACCGGGAGTTTGGTGGTGGTGGCGGCCGATCGGACCTGCCCTGAGACTGAGAGCTCAGATGACGACTGCCTGCGCAGAGTGAGATATAAAAGCCTGCTACGTCGGCTGCGGAAGATATCGGACAGACATTTGGAATACGTTCTCCATTCGGGCATGCGCTTTCAACCGAATCAACACCTCGTCGTATTTCCATTGCATTTAGGTTCAAGCTATGGGAAAGGGCAACCCTCCGTTCCGGCTGTGGAGCCATGGCCGTGCTTTGAGACATCGTGGGCTTTGCAAAGCTGAAGGTCGTTGCCACAAATGTTGGTGGGCCCAGCATGGGCCCAAATGGAAGAGAAAATTCCCTTGGCTTCGTTTCGGGCAAGGCGTGGCCGAGGATGTTGACTTCGGCTTTGGCTGTAGTGTTTGTGTCTTCGACCACTTAGTCTCCAATGGTGCAATCTTGGGGAATGCAAAACGACGACCTGTAGCCACACCTTGCAGAACCAGATGCGTGGACACACTCGACCACTTTTCGCTCTTCTCGGTGAGACGCCGCTTGAAGGCTGATACGCTTAAGCGTCATCACGACAGTCAGAAACACCAGGAAGCGCAAAGGTTTTTGCCAGGGCACATCACTGAGGATGATTTGACTGCGGCACCTTCTCTGCAAGACTTTGCTTCTGCTTTGAGGAATATGAGGAATGGACAATCAATGAGGAATGGAAGTGCGCCCAGTGACACGACTTCGTTACTTCATTGGTGCATCTCCGAGAGCTTGCTTCAGTTCTGGCGCAGCAAGTTGTCTGAGGCCACGACGCTTTGCTTGGTGAGGGATGAACGGAAAGGAAAAATGTTAATTCGTTTCCGTGGTTGCAGCGCATCTCTGGAGCTTTGCTGTGGAACTTTGGGCTGCCAGCGCATGACAGGCGGCAGCGCCGAAGACATTGTGACAGCAACGGCCAAAGCTTTGCGAATTTTCTGCACTGAAATGTATCACCCGCCAAGGATGGGGCGTCGCTTGTCTCAACAAGGTGGCTTCAATCGTATGCTTTTCAATCATATGAGATCCATAGTCCATATTTTGACCACCGACAGCCATCCTGCCGAGCTTTTGGCTTCGAACATTATGAAGGGGGACAGGCAAAGCGCCGATGAGCAACACAATCGAGACCCCTTTCTTCCCAACGTTGTGCTTGTTGGCCGAGATGCTGCTCATGCATCCACCCGCTTGGTGAAGAGACCATGCATGGTCATGCGTTGCCGACATTGAGGACTGACTGCTTCACATGTCGGGCCATGTCTTTCATGTTTATACGACAATTATAAGCTAGAACCTTGCAGGAGGTCTTTGCCGAAACGATTCGAAACAAAGACTCACCAGTCCAGAAGATCTTCAACTCCAATATTTTTTCTCGCTGGTTCGAAGAAGCAGTCTTGCACCACGGGGGAGCACCTCAGGCTACGAGTTTGTCTGCGGCTAAGCACCGTTTTGCCAGCTACGCAAAACCACTGGGAAGGATTACACTTCACTTGGAGACCTTCTTTCGGTTGCTTCATAGAATTGCTTCGATGAGAGATGATGCAGACTGGGCCAGGAAATGGTTGGCAAACATTTCTTGCCACAAGCTCTTGCTTTTGGCGCTGGCGGCGGACGGGGCAGACAGTTTGATGCAGCTTTGCCGCTTCCTTGATGCAGAGAATACTGACCCGGCTGCCTTGAACCAAGAAATTGGGCACTTCTTGGATGAGCTTCACGCACTCTTTCGTTTGGGCAAGGCTTGGGAAGTCGAAGGTTATTCGAAACACGTGCTTCACGTTCTGGAATCCGGCTCTTTGTACTCTTTGATTGGTGGACAAGGTCGACTGTTGGTTCTTCAACCAGGCGCTCTGGACCGAGCTTTGAAAGCATTTCAACCATGCTGAATAGATTGAAATACTTGAAGTTATACTATAAGTTGATTTACAA